TCAGACGTTTCTCTTTTTAAAATATTGAGAGAGTAGAATCATCCAGGAAGAAAACTATTTGACAAATTGTCTCAAAACAGAATCATTCTCGTTTGTGACATTTGTGGGTGAACATGATTGATTACCAAGGATCATTTTGCAATAGGGGATGCACGGGATGATGTTAAACACATTTCTAGTTCTTTGTAGCCATGAAAATCAGTCAGTTGCCTGGGGGTGGGACACAAAGTCCCGCTGTAAGTGCAATGTAATGTCAATTAAATCAGACCCAGATGTTACCATTCTCCAGGAAGGATGAATGTCGCAGGAATACCAGAAAGGGACAGACCCCCAACTCAGCCATTGTGCAAGCCACAGAAAGAACCACAGAGGTAAAAGACAGAAAGGCCAGGGTGAAGGAGCAAGATCTGGATCTCCTCCAGGGTTAACATTTCACGTGGACCCAGGCCCAGATAGAATATGGAGATGCTTCAAGAATAGTTGGATTAGAGGGCAAGTTCTTCAACCATTCCAGACACAACCCTCTTATTAACTGCAGAAGATGCACAGGCCCAGGAGAACAGATTCTTTGAGGCTTTCTAGTCTACTCTCAAGCTGATTAATGATGAGGAGTTTTAATAAAAAGCTTCATTTTCTTAGAAGAAGAGCTTCATTCTCTCAGAAACATACTGTAGATTACTGTAGATTATGCCTCCTTGTTAGTGACTTTGGTTTCTTTCACATTAGGTGAAAAAGAATTGTTTTAGTTGGGATGATCATTCCTGAATAGTAGTTATTTAACTAATGCAGAAGAAATTTGTGGTTGGAGTTCAGAGCTGAAGACTGTCATCAGATACTATTCATCTCTTCCATCAGCTTCACAGGGTTTCATTTTTTTCAGACATGGGCTACTTAAAAGTCAGCCTTCCAGAAGAGCCTGTACTGCTAGGGTCTCACTGTAAACTACCTACATTCATGGAACATTGATCGATTGATCTTTGAAAATGATGTTTTAGTTTTAGTCACTGAAGTGTACAGGGTGGGTGCGTCCACATGAACAGATGTGTGGAATGTGAACCCTCTTTAACTGGCTGCTTCCAGTGGTTTGTTGGACCTGGCTTGCCCAGCTCACACAGGCCAATGGTGTGCATCTACTACCTAGCCTGTGTTCAGCGATGTCGTAACTGGTAGCTGGAAATTATGCAAGATGAGAGTATTTACACCATGGAGATGGGCAAATGCTACAAACCAGGTCTTTGTACTCTCAGAGAGCCAGTTGCTAAACATCTTCTCAGCACACCACTGGCCGCATGCCAAGCTGACCAAAAGTCTGCACAGTGTGGCATCAGCCCAGTCTCCTGGGGTCTCTCCAATTTTGTTTCCTGCCCAGCTGCTCCTTCTCCTTCAGTGTCACTGGCCCTGCAGGATCAAAGTAGCACAAAAGCATCTAGGGTGCATTTGACTACACACACTGTCACTGTCACTACACTGAGCTCTACTCTCAGAGACACTTGTTTTGTAGCCACACAAGCAATGCAGGACAAAACCAAGTAGGTAAAGCAACTGGTAGGGCAGCTGGCTTCCTGCTGCAGAGCCTGGAGAACGTGAATCCCCAGTGGGAACAAGGTATTCCCAGCCGAATGCATCCACTGGGGCATTCTTCAGAAGATTCCCACAGCTGTGCAGCATTTCCTGCAGCGTCTTGCTTCCCCCTTCCCACCTCAAAGTCTGACACAAACCAAAGAACCAACAAAATTGAGGTCACTGGCAAAAGAGTTTGAAATTTTGAATGATTTTATTAAACACCATCAGTCTACACTGCACAGTTAATGAAACAGCAAAGCTCCAATCTCAGAAGAACGATGGATGGTCATGGATCTGAAAAGCAGTTCAGTGTCCCCTAACCCAGTGTGAGCACTATGAATGATTCTTTAACATCTCATGTCAGAAGCAGGAAGGGGAATGAACTGCGGTGTGGCCTCCGGGGGCTCCCACCCCCACCCTCCACCCACACGCCCCCTCTGCCTTCCCCCACAACAATTTTCATTGATAGATTACAGAGAAAAAATGTGATGCTGTTAGTAAAGAGGGCCTCTAGATTTGTGAGGAGAAGAATGGAAAGGGAACTATTATGTTTTCTTTTGCTGGAAACCTCAGATGATAGCACTAATGTCTGAGACGAGCCTATCCGATTAGTCTCCTGCCAGGGTAAATGCTGATTACCAATACACAGATGCCGTTTCTGTTGTTGGAGTTTGCGAACACCAAAGAGAAAACGAATCAGAGTTTAATTATGAGAATAAGGCTGTGCAAGTGGAAATGAGAAAACAACAACAACAACAATAACAACAACAACAATGACGACGAAGAATTCAGTTTGCCAGTTGTGTTAACAGAACACTGACAACTGGCTCAATATTTTTCCCCCACAGAATTGAATTGGGGGCACTGAATCGATCCATCTGTTTGATATCGTGTAGCTATCTCATCTTGCCACACGTTTTTCTCAACGGGGACAGTGATGCCTCTCTAAGCAACCAGTTCACTGCTTTTCTGAGTAGTCCTACCCAGTGATCCAGTTTGGCTCTTACACCCGCCAACTCACGCAGGTGAATTTCATCCTGTCTGTTCAGGAGTATGTGAGGGCTTCACCCTCGCAACCCAGTCGAGTCTGCCTTCAAACATGCTTTCTAACTTCAAACTCCAACTTCAACCTCTGGGATGCAAATTTGAATAGAGGAAAATGCAATTTAGGTAGCTTAAGCTACCATAGAGCAAGTATCCTTTGGATGAAGAGTAATTTCAGCGGTGTACTGTCCAAATGAAAAGTCATCCATTTGGAAATTCAATCAAACACATCCTAGCCGATGGTTTATAATTTTGCTTTGTGGCTACTGATCAAAGATTTGGATCTTTTTATCTCATTACGTGGGAAAATAGTGCATCTCAACCTCAAGTCTTTTAAAAGTAACAATAGCTAATCTGCTTTTCCAATTATGTCATCCAAATATAAAACTACTAATATTTTCCCAGTGAGATTATTAAGTAATTAACAGACTATAGGCTGGCTAACAACATGCTTACAGCTAAATTCTACCCCAAGGACCACACTACTAAAGTCTTTTCAAATTAATCCTACCTACCAAACTCAGACAGTAATATGACAAAACCACTAAAAAATCCAAAGCTAATTAAAAATATAATGCCAAGCCAACATCATAACACAAACTTGTCAGACTCTCTGTGGTTGGAGCTTGGGTGACAAATGAAGGCATAGTGGTGGCCCTACCTGGGTCATGTGGCAGGGCTGAGATTGTTTATCCTTGCTCAGGTAGAGCTAGCTGCCCATTACTCTGCCCATTACCCTATCTCCACATGCTTATTGAGATGTGTTTCACCAAGCCTCCATCAAGGTCTAGAGGCATGATATCTCACTGCTAGCCACATGTCTCATGTCCCTCCCACAAACAGGTACGCTGAAAAGATTCACTTGACAAAATATCTTAATCCCTCACCCCTCAAATAGCTGCACACCTACAACACACATCACCATTTACAATGTGATGAATAGAGTACCTAGAAAACAGCAACAATCCTTCATCATGAAACTTAGATGTCCCATCTCCAGGGATAGGAAGGTAATTCATAGTCCATGTTTACTCAGTTTCTAAGCTGCTTTAAAAATGGCCCTACTAAATAATCAGTTGGTGATCCAGAGCTCGACTATCAGATTTGATAATCGCGCTGCTGACTTGGCACACACTTTACACTAAGCCACCAGAGATAACAGAGAATCCTCTTGCCTCCCTGTTGTATGTAAGTGATATAACAAGTCACTGAAACTAGAACTACAAGTCTTTCATCCATGAGGCATTATGCTTGTTTTCCTGGGAGATTGTCCCTAGCATTCTAATGTCTAGTTTCTAGAGATTTTTGAATTTAAAGAAGAATCTAGTCCTAAATCCATGATGGTCTAGGATCATGGTCTAGCCAGTAGACATCCAAGTCAAGCCAGTAGGCATTGTGATAAAGTAATAGCCAGGCACTCTACCTGGTAAGCTTTGGAAAACAGAGAGCCTGAGTCACTATAAAGTCATCAGCTTAATTTTCATATGTGACACCTTGGGTGTGCAGTCTTTCATATTATTATTTTCCTCATTTAAGAGGCTCAGAAAAGATTCTTTCAAGGTTTCATTTGTGTGTGTGCACATGTGTATGTGTGTATGTGTGTTTTCAAGTGTTGCCGAGACTGCAAACATGAAGCTCAACCACATTGGGAGCATAAAAAGTGTGGATTTTAGCTGTTGGGGTGCTCCCAACAGCCATATTAACAGCATGGCATCAGCCATTGGAGTACAACTTCCATAACCTTATTATACAAGAAAGGGCCTTAAACTCAAAGATGACCAGAGCAGAGCTCAAGTCTGGCTCTTTTGCTACTGGAATATATCTAACCTTGACAAAGAGAGTGCAGAGTTATCACCTGCTGTTTTTATCACAGACCTGCATGACTTGCTTTAAAAATCATACAAGTTCACATTTTTATGTGCCTATCTATTATTTATCTGGTCATATCTCAGTGAACAGAATTCAATAACTCAGCAGATTAAAAGCTACATGGAATTATATGCCAGTAGGTAGTTACAAGTAACTAATGCATGGATAGTGTTTACTACAGGTGGGGGATTCTTCTGGTGAGCTGGAACACCAAAGATGATATTTACATTGTGATGCTTGGGGACAGAGGATGAATGTAGAGGGTCATAAGGAGGAGAGATAGTCATAACTGATATGGAAATGTCGCCAAATTAGGTGAGCTGTTCCCAGTCTTTAGGTCTTTTTCAAAGTGCCCCAGAGAATCATGTTTTTGGGCTTAGCTATTACTTACAGAGTTAGGAGTTTTCTTTGCAATTTTTAGTAAAGGTTTATACTAATATAAATTTTAATAAAATAAATGATGGTATTTCAAATGAAAGCTAACAAGTCAGAGAAAGGGAAAGGAAAAATGAACAAAGAAAAATGAAAGAAGAAAAAGGACCCCTGAAAATAGAAAATGTGGATAATAATTGAGGAAGTCCAGATTTTAAAAACACTAGGAATAAAATTGTACATTATTATGTTCAGGTAGTAATAATTTAACTTTTGTTTCCATAGATTGAGAAAAATACAATTTAAAAATCCTGCTAGTTACAGATCTGCCACTGACTACAAAGGAAGCAGGTATGTGAATTCCATGTTGGACATTTTCCAGACCTCTCTTATCTCCCAGTTCTAAGACTGGCAGGTAGCACTTTAGCTACTAAGGCATACAACCATCAAATTTCTCCTCAAAAGAAGAGCTTTGCACACAGAAGATCTCTGTGAGGATTTAAGATTCAAATCATGGAGTTCCAACAATTTTAATCCAGCTGATGCCTTAAAGTTGTCAAAATAAATGTCACCCCTCTTTCTCATCATTAAAATCTTTTTTTTAAAAAAAAGGAAGGGAAAGTAAATCAGGAACAGTATGCTAAGAAAAAATGTCCTCTGTCTCTGGTAGTATGGCACGAGGAACACTGCCAAGCCCCTTTATTTCTTGATACTCTAGATTTTATGACATTGCTACAATATCTAACTAATAAGTTTTGACAATAAGAATTCTCACCTGAAGGTTGAATCTGTTGGGAACCACAGAAGTGTAACAATGGATTCTGGAATGCATTCTTTTCTAGACATAAGAGTATAGTTTTGGGGATGGCTATTGCTAAAAATCTTTGCAGGTCCCTTGTATCTAAGTTCTCATCTATATGTAAGACCATTTGTTTCACTTCTCAGGAACCTGTTATCATCACATATGCTTCTTTTTCTTTGTTTTGGGTAGTGTCGATTTAACATAATATTGTAGGGACTATCATTCTATAAAGCACAAAAGATGCTGGGGTCTGAGAAATGTGTATCAAATACTGAAAAATAATAAAAAATATACACTGGTCTCGTTGTAGTGTCCACTTACAATGAATTCAAGTTTTTCACAGATATCAAAAGAAGCATAAAAACAAACATAACCAAAGAGAACTTTCCCAAATGAGTGAAGTTCCACCAGTGACTGTCTGTGCGCTGGTAGAGGTAGAGTGATGGGTGGTGATGCTAGAAGAGAGGGCACCCACTACAACAGATGGGCATCGATGCGGAGCCAACACAGTCCCTGGCGAACATAGCGGACAAGATTGGTCATGCTGCTGTGCTGGGTCAGAGGCCCCATTAAGGTGTCCAGGTCGCCGAAGAATTCTGAAAATCAGAACAGTCCTTGGTCAGGCTTTTAAATAATATCATGGAAACATGCACCACATCAACAAGCTGCCTTCATGTAACACTCATGTGGACATTGGGAAACTCATTTATTTGCCCATCTGTTCATCCTTATACCCAGCCACCCACCCATCGATCCAATCCAAATGTACAGAGTGCCTCCTCTAGGGCACTGAAATTCCACCTGCAAGTCAAGCACTATCATTGTAATCTTTATTGAGCTGTAAATATTCTGCAGCCTAAATGATGTTGTTACTGTATTTAATAAAACACAAACTTCACTTAAATGTGCTACTGAATTCATTGTAAGTTTTAAAAATCATTTTATATTTCCTTTTTCTTTTTGTGGTACTGGGGATGTACCAGGGTCTCACACATGGTAGGCAAGCCCTCTACCACTAAGCTACCCAGCTCATTATATATTTTCCTAGACAGTGTATTCTAGAAGTACAATACCATCCTGTGGAAGTGTGTTGTTTGTTAAATACAAATACATACAAAATATATCATTACATATAATCTATTTGTCCATATATTTATATAAACTTATGTATAAGATATAGTTACATATTTAAAATTCACACATAAATTGCACGTATCAATGTGTTTAAATACATTTCACACTATTTAATAAATGTATGCTTTTATGTATTATAAATTTATATCTAGAAAAGTATCCTTAATGGCCAAAAGGGGTCCTTATACCTATCATGATCTATCTGATATCAAGTTCTTTGCAACTCTAAGAGTGGTTGAAGTAGTACAAATCTTATCTTTTGTCTCAGTGAACTGAGTTTACTGATTTTTCTTGTTATGATGCAGGCGAAGCTAGTTAATCTGGACAGCAATTATAGCCATCAGCACCCAAAGCTAAATAAATATCTTGGAGAACTCTGATTTAGCACATCTTCTTACTGATGACATTTGGGCTGGGAAATGACCGGCAAGTGTCTTACACGTGACAGTCCCCCCACCCTGGACATGGATGCTAAGGAGGCCCAGTTGAGTCTCTCTGGCTGAACTGGGGAAGGGAGTAACCCTGAGGCTACAATACTAACCCATTTGACTGGGGTGTGAGAATGTCTGCCTTGGGCAGAGGAGGCTATGTGGGCAAAACTATGTAATATCTACAACTAACTAGGCGTCCTCTCTTCACTTGAGAATTCCCTTGACTGACACTTGCTTAGGAGAGGCCTTTCCAGCATCCTCTTTACTAGGAGGGAGGAGGGAGCTTTAGTCATAAGCCTGTGCCAGTTGAAGGTGAGAACTCTGGGTCCTGGGCCAGACCGGGACTGGATGTTGCTCTAAAGTGGTCGGGATGCTCTTTTGCCTTCTTGGAAAGCAATTTCCATGAATGGGCTGTGTGCGCTTGATTGCTCAGCAGATGGTTGCTCACTAAACAATGCATTTATTCTTCATGCTATGTATACCATATCAACTACTTTTCTAGGCGTCAACTGCATTTGATTATGTGATACTGCGTAACTCATACTATACAATAAAAGTAACTTCTGCTGACACAGAAGTAAATTATTTTTGGCATCTAAAATATTTTCTTAGGTAATACAATACTAAGGAAGATATTAAAGGGCCTGGTTATTATAGAATGAATGTGAGCCTCATGTAAGCCAGGGACTCCCCTGAGTATTCTGTGCAATTCTCTCTGTGGCATTCTTAACTATATACTCAGGTCACCATTTTGATGACTGCTTCAGTGTACACAGATGAGGCTGGTAGGGAAAGGAGTTTCTAGACCAAAGGCCAGTGTGCAGCAACATCCCCATTGGCACAAATCAGCACCAGATCATTGTGCAAAAGCTATCTTCAACTTCACAGGTGGGCAGCTAGGGATCAGAGATGGAGAACTTTTACTGAGAGAGCCAGGGCCACCCATCTACATTGCACAGTTGGCTGGAAAAAGTGCAAGTACCTGGCTCTCTACAATGTGGCGCAGATGGGAATCAAAAGAAAAGCTCCTCCATGCCTTCCTCCATTTCCTCTGGATAAGGCAGTGTAAGAAGAATCTCCACAGGTAAGCAGATCAGAAATGACATGTGTGCAAAACTCAAGGGTATGAGCAGAAAATTCTAAACTAGGTCTTCTCCTCAGTCCAGCAAAAAGCCAAATGATCGCATTGGCAGGACACAGTCTCTTTTTTCTGGTAGAATAACAGAGTTGCTTTGATTCAACATTTGGCAGGAAATTGAGCAACCATTTAATAGGGTGTGCTAATGACAAGATTAGCAGCATTTCACCCTAACACCAGCACAGCCACCATGTTGATCCTTGGAATTTCTGTAGTTAATTTAGAATGAATTACTTTAACAGATTTGGAACATGGAAGTAATTATAAAGGAAATCCATAAATATTGAATTGCCCTCCAATTACTAATACAAAATAAGACAGAGAGAGTGAAGAGATACGCTAGACAAATCTTAAGATGCTTCTGTCTTTGCTTGCAATTCTAGAACCCTGAGATGGGCCTGGTTCTCTGGGCCAGTTGTTTCTGGTTTTTCAAACAAGTCTAGAAAAGCAGACAAGGTAAAAATTACATACTGCCCAGTTAGTAGTTCAGGATCACACTGAGGATCTCAGAGGACCTGATATTAATCTTGGGATATGCAGCCTATGGGTTAAAATTGCGATATGTAGCCTATCAGTTAAAATTTCAGATTCTGGAATCAGATACTTTTAAATGAAACTCCTACTTCTAACAAACATGTAGAGTTATGATATCATGAGTGTCTTTCTTAATCTCACTTTTCCTTAATTTTTTCATCTATAAAATAGGGATAAATGAGACAGTGATAAGCTAATAGTGCAGCATGTGGGATATAAAACTTGGAAAACAATCAGATGTAACCAAAATATGCACAGATTCTCAGAAGTTGGTACAAGTTAATAACTGGGTTGAGGGGTTACATCTTAAATTGGAGACTATGCTTTGATATAAAGAGAATCTTTGGGTTATATTGATATATAGTACTACGGACTAACAAAGAGAACACATATTTTTAGGATTTCTACATTGGACCCAATGTTTGACACTATGTGCTTTACATATATTATTTCATTAACTTCTATTACACTGTTGTCACTATTATATCCACTATAGAGATGGATGCTCGGAAGCAGTTCACAGATTTAAGTAACTAGCAAAGTTTGTCCAGGTAGCGTATGACCCACGCTATACATTCCCGGGCTGAAGAATCTGCATTCTTCCTGTTCTGGTGGGACTGTTTGCACACATGCTCAGCAATACAGTAGTGATGAGCAACAAGGAAGAGGGGATCAGTACGACTGCATCTCATCCCCTGATCAGGCTCTGGGGAGAACCAGTCTAGAGACCAGAGTGGCAGTTTGAAACAGGGAAGAGAAACAGGCTGAAATCCCAGTTTCTTTCAGAAATCAGACAGGGAAGGAGAACTCCCCAGGGTATGGGGATTCTGGGGAGAAAACCAGGGGCTGGACTTAGGAGAACTGAGCTGGAGGACCCAGTACGTCCTTCTCAGTCAACCCCATGGACACGTCCACCACATAGATGTGGCCCGTGTTCTCAACCTGATTCTTGGAGATCCATGTAACTGCCTGGGACCTAGTAGCACACAAGACTACCCCATTCCACCTGGAGTGTGAAGGGTGATGAGTCTTCCCCATTTCTAGCCAAAATATTCTACTACTCTACACTGCTTGCTGTCTCTTTATAGTCAGATTCGAAAGGTCCACATCTGTTCCCACTTTGACTGCAGTGGGACAGTTTGTGACAACTGGGCCGGAATTAGCCAAGTCAAATGAGTGGCGAGGGCAAAAGCATGCTTTTATTGTTACTTCATTAGGAAACTTCACTGTGAGTATAAATGACAGCTGAGGTCACTGCAGCATGAGTCACTAGTGATCACTCACCCACCCTCTAGGAAAGCAAGGTCCTCTTCTCATTTGTTTCATAGCCAACTCCATGTTTTTCCCTAAATAGGGCCTATGGTGTGTGCAAAGTACTAGCTAAGTTTGGTCTTTGCTTCCAAATGCAAGCTACATTATCAAGCAGTCAACTGGAGTTGATGATTATAAGGAAAGTCAACAGCTTCAGTTCAACCTTACCTCCCCCTCACACACCAAAAAACAATGCATTTGATGGAAGCCAATCAGATCTTAATGATTTGCAAATCATTCTTTATCCGTTTGCCTCTGTTTCTCTGTCGATACTTGTCACTAAGTAATATCTGAAATAATTCTTTGCCAATGCATCACAGCTCAGATTCATTTAATCATTAAATGAAAGCTGAATTCCAGGCTTTATTCACTCTTTCTGCAAAAATAGGTCAGTGTGTCAGTCCAGAGCCAACCTTCTCTCATCTATGCCTTGAAAATGAGAGCAACTGAAAGATTGAAAGCCACCAAGTAAACCCCAAGTCATTTAAAGCCCAGGTGAGTCAATGATGGTCTCTCCCACATGGGCAGAGCAGACAAGCGCACATACCTTTGTTCTCTCTTGTCAGCTTGTCTGCCATGTCCCAGTGTTCATAGCCCCGTAGCACATTGCTCGTGATATTGACGTGGCTGGCAGCCATGTGGTGAATGCGCTGGGGGATGGTGACTGGGCCGTTGTTACAGTTCCCCACTGCGTTGATGGGAGAGACATTGTTGAGAGACACTGGGGAAGGAGTGTTCCTGGCGAATGGAAAGAGACATGTCTTATTAGGCTGGCAGGGAAGAGTGACAGCAGGCTACTAGGCCTCCCTGGACACATTGGGATCTCCAAAGAATACCACTTGCCACACCAAAGTTGGGTGTGGTGAGCAGATTTGAAGACCCATTGGAGGGTAGTTTGTCCCCACACATAGTGGCTCTCTTTAGCACACACCGTGCAGTCTTTGTCAGCACAGCAGCCTTCTCCAGAGACTCTGGTGTAGAGACAGCTGATCATTAACCCAACCACTCTGCTGCATCTGACTAACCTACCCCGGGCTCCAGTGCTGGGCCATTTCTAACCTAAAACTTCAATCCTCAACTGCCTCTGACAACCACAGAGTGTTCCATGATCACTGCTGCTTTTGTTTTCAAATACAGACAGCACTGGGTGAATCTTTGGCATTAATTCTACCCAGAAATGTAGTGCTCACTTTGAATATATGTAAGTGTTGCGATGTTTGAGAGAAAGAAATATCTCAGAACTATGATGATTTCTCTATTGGCTGCCAGAACGGCTACTGGCAGTTAGAAAACACTTGACATGCAATATTGGTCTATTATCAAAGTGTCTTGTACAAACCACAATGACAGTTTGTTCCAAATACAGTTACCACAATAAGGCATCTGTAGTTCTTAAAAGTCCCCCAAGGAGCAGTATTGGGGAAGCTGGAAAAATGTAGAATTCTTTAGGATTCTTTAAGACAGACATACTACAGAGATGGGTGGTTAATTGGCGACTGGTCACCCGCATGCTGGTTTGTACAAAGAAGGCTTCAGACTTCCTACTTTGGGCAGCACCAGTGTTTGGATGCAGAATTTTAATGAATTCTTCAACATCAGTAACAAGGAGTTACCATGTGGCTGCACCCAGCATGAGGGTAATTTTTCTTCCAGGGTCCAGGCTTAGGCTGGCCAACTACAGACTTTCCCAGGGACAATCCTTAATGCATTGGTGGCATCTCTGGCACAGCAGTAAGGTCTATGTGTTTGTCATCCTGTCTGTCTGCCTTCAATCACACACTACAACACTTCCTGGGCAAATGAACCACTCTATCAAGGGACATCTGCGGAAGTAAAAGAAAAAGCTGAGCACAATGGTGCATGCCTATAGTCACAGCTACTCTAGAGGCTAGAGTGGGAGTTTGAGGCCTGGAGTTCGAGGAGAGCCTGAGGAACAGAGCAAGACCCTCCCCTGAAAGAAAAGAAAGAAGAGAGAAAGAAAGAGAGAGGAGGGAGGAAAAAGGGAAGAAAAGAAAGGAAGAGGGAGGGAAGGCAGAAAGGCTGGCCATGTTTGGGATACCTGGAGTCTGCACGTTGGAAAGAACCTTATCCACACCCCAGCATATCAGCAAGGCGGCCTGTTTCATCCCCTCCCCCAGCCCCTCACCAGCTGCTGCAGTTGGCAACTCTGGATTTCCAGGATGGCTGTGTTTCTCAGAGCCCACACCTGCTCACAGAATGGATGCACACCCTGACGGGCAGAGCGCACATCTGATTTGGGCTAACAGCAATCACAACGCACCCACATGCTGGAGTGCTACTGAGGAGCTCTGAGAGCAGCAGGAGCAATCACAGCTGAAATGCTGTCCTGGGGATTCACACACACACTGTGCCCATGGCCCCTGGAGCCCCTGGAAGGACTTCTGCCGACAGAGTGTATCTTGTGTAGTCTGGTCTCAGGGAAAGTGCATCCTCACACTTCCTCTGCACTCATCTGGTTTAAGAACATGTGAGGGGTTCCCTGCTATGTTTATGATTTTTGAGATATTTTCTGACTCACTGATAGATTTTTTTCTCAAGATAGGAGCAGGATGGGGAGATGCCCAAGGTAAGGGACCTTAGCACAGAAGGGCTTGCTAATGTCAAATCAAGCACTGAAGGCTAGATTTTTTTATTGTTCTAGGTTGTGAACACTATTTTCCTGTCTTTTTCACCAGCAGTGCTCATTAAGTCTTAAATGTCAATTTATGGCAAGAAAGGAAAATTTTCTCATTTGTAATGTCTAGTGAAAATGACAACACTGCCAGGTGCTACAAATATTGAAAAAGAGACTGTGGTACCAGAATCCCGAGAGACTTGGAGTCCAGCCTTAGCCCTGCTGCAAAATTGTTCCCCAGCATAACCTTGTTTGGCCTTGCTTTCTTAGACTAAAACAAAAGTTTGATTCAGGGATTTCTAATCATGTTCAGAAATTACAAGGGAAAACCAGTCACCTCTCTTTACCTCAGACATTTTGAAAAGCCTTTTGCTACTCATCTATGGAAGCAAAGTAGTTGACTTCATAAAAGCAGAAAGTAGAATCATAGTCATTACAGGCTAGGAAGGGGAGATGCAGAGGGGTTGGATAACAGGTACCAAGAGCCAGTTAGATAAGAGGAACAAGTTCTCCCATTCTACAGCGCAGTAATGCTGTCATTTGAAACAATGTGTATATTTTGTAAACAGCTAGAAGAGAGGAGTTCAAAGGTTCCCATCAGGAAGAAGTGACACATGTTTAGAAAATGGAAATGTTGATTATTCTGATTTGATCACTAAACATGTCTACATGTGTGCAATCATTACACTGCATCTCATAAATACGCATGATTATTTTATGTCAATTAAAAACATTTTTTGGTTATTACACTGAAGTGTTATTAAGTGGCTTTCTTTTCCTTCTAGTCCTTCCTTTCTTTGAAATATTCAGTAACAGAGGCAGGAAGAGTGAAGGTTTGTTTTGGAGTGTTTTCACTGTTCTCAAACGAGGGTCTATCATCTGCTGCTCTGATGAGCAGGTCTGCACAGCACAGTGCAAATGTGACAAGGAAAAGTGACACTGCCTAAGGGACTGTGACCATGTGAAAGAGAGGGTGAATGCACAGCTCACGCCCCTTGGCCTTCACCACTGTGAGGGGTACCCCAGCTGCTCCCTTCTCGACTCTCTTTATAGATCTTGTCCTTTTCCCTCTACTTCCACGGCAAAGGTCAAGGAACATGCACACATAAGCATACACTTCTTACCACTTCTTCCACAAACATCCTCCTCACCTGTGGCCACACTAGCCCCTTGCTTATTCTGGAGCTCACCTGACACTCACTCACTTCTTTCTAGCTGGGGGACGCTTCTCCCAGATATTTGCACAGTGTGCTTTATTCTCATCCTTTCCAAACATGCCTATTCAAGACTGTACAGCTGCCCCTTCCCCTCTCCTCAGTAGCCCTTTCTGTCCTCTTTCCTTGCTTCTATTTTCGGCATGGCAATTACTGCCGTGTAGTATACTGCATATTTTTAAATTGTCTTTCTCCCCCAATAGAGTAGGGGCAAGGATTTTTGTCTCTTTCATACTGTGCTATACTCCAGCATCTAGAACAGTGCCTGGCACATAATACACACTCAATGAACACCAACTGAATAAATGAATGAATTTCTCCGATTCTGTACTTAATATCTGCTGTATATGAAATACTCTGAAGAGTAGAAAGAGAACACCCTGTATAGCACAAGGACAATGGATGTGTTTGCATAAAGCCTGGCAGGGTGTCTCATACATGGTAGGTACTCAATAAATATTTGGTGAGTGGGGCCGGGGATTTAGCACAGTGGTTCGGTGGCCTGCCTTGCAAGCGCAAGGACCCGAGTTCAATCCCCGAAATTGATGAGTGAAAAGATGAATGGTTCTTTATTTAAGAAAAGAGTTCACTAGAGGAGCAAAATCCATTATTTTCTGGCAATATAAAGTGCCAAAAGGGAGCATAGACACCAAGAGCTGTAGGAGTTAAAGGGGAAGGATTGCTTATGTTTTCCAAGTAAAGAGGTTACAATGTCAACAATAACTGCGGTAGCAGGTACAGCCACCATTTGTTGACCAACTATTGGCAGCAAGCTTGGTTCTCCGGGTTTCATCAATATTGTCTCTAATCCTCCAGGAAACTCTCCAGGGAAGCTTCTGTCATAGTGTCATAGAAGCTCAGCTTCTTCCAGAGAGCCACACGACAATTCACCCAAAGAGCCAGGGCCTAACAGCAGAATCACTTCCCTCCAAAGCTCTGTCTCTTTCCATTCCACCACGTTACCTCAAATTCTCCCATGAGACGTGTGTCCACCTGCATCGCACTTCTGTGTACACGTTAGTTTACTTCCAGGGTCATCTATGTTCACACCAGAAGAGCCCTCTACAAGCTAGGGGAGAAGTCTCAGCTTTACCTGGCTGGCCCCTCCAATGACTACCTGACCCTTGCATTCTTTGCACTGGCCAAGGCCTCAAACAAGTGAGAATATACCTGCTTCTCATTCCTTCAACATGGAATACCTCTCTACTGAAACCACTCTTCTGAAGGCCTCAAATGGCCTCTTCTTTCAAAATCCAGTTGCCTTCTTTTTTTGTATGATAGCTTCATGACATGTGAGACTATTGTCTAGCCTGTTTCAACTCTCCACACTGGGCTTCCAGAACTTTCTACCATGGGTCTGCTTGTCCAGCCTGCCTCCTCTTTTTGTATGGCCTATGAACTGTGGGATAGTTTGAAAAGACGAACATTTCCAATTGATTTGATGAGAAGGATCACTACATTTGGACATGCAAAATGTTATTTTTAAAAAAGAATTCCATTCCACTTATTAGTAGACTTGTACTTCAAAAATTTTACTAGTTATTATATTTCATCAGTAAATATAAAACTGTTGTGTGAATTTTCTTTTGCTCTTAAATTCTTCTACATAATAATCTTGGTTTTGCCTTTGGGCCTACAAAGCTCAACATATGTAGTATCTGGACCTTTACAAAATAAGTTTGCTCATCCTTGCCCCATATCAAGCAGATTTTTCATCTCCATCTACTTTTCTGTACTTTCTTCCCCCAGCACTGTGGAGGCTAACTCCTGATGGTCTGTTCTCAATCTTCTGCTCACCTCTCTATGTACTTTTCTGGGGCCCTCATGCAGGAGTGAGGCACCATGAGCACCTCTGGCAAACAGACTTCCCCACTGCCAGTGAGCCAAGGAGGGATCGCAGCCTGGAGATGCTGCCTCTGGAAAATGTGGTCAGGAGCCCTTGATGGGACCCAGCATCTTCTTTCACTGTGATACATCATGTACAGGGCTTATAGTCTGGCTTATAGGCACGGAGCCCTCTCTGGCCACACAGGAAGGCCCAAACTCATCCTCCTGGCCTTCCACAGCACTTTGTCATGTCCATCCACTGTGTTGTTCTGCCATGCAGAGACCACACGTCATCCTTCTTTGTGTCCCTAGTGCCTTGCATAGGGCCTGCCATAAAGCAGATACACCTGAAGTGTCCGCTGAATGAACGGGGTATAACCCCTGGGTGAGTATTTGGAGGTGCCTCATTCAAAAGCTCACCAGCCTACCAAAGGAAGTAAAGGGAGTGTGCTTTCTTCAGACAGAAGCTGCTTAAAAATCATTTCAGGAGTCTTTAATGTGACTTCACAAGCTTAGAATGTGTTTGAGTCCTTTCATTTCAAAATCTAAAAAAAAATTTTTTTCCCTGACCATCCTTTAATAGCTGCTTACCTGACCTTGCCCTTGCTTCATTCTGCACTCAGAGAAAATAGCTTTCTCTGGGTCTTTCAACAGCTATTTTTATTTTCTGAACTTCCAGACGAGAAGCGTTCTTTCCCTTTGTTCATCAATGTAAGAGTAGGACCTCATTCAACAATTTAAACGGTGCTTCCTTTCAACATAGTAATTGAGTTAATGTGTAGCTTTTAATGGATCTGTTCCCTTGCTCTGAATGTTTTTATGATCTCAAAGTAGAGTTCATTGTCCCACTGCTTTTGGAGTATGCTTTGTAGATATTTACAAAGTGGCGATGGAGACTACATTACTCTTGAAGCAGGTGTTTTGATCAGAGATGGAAGAATGTTGAAATGATGAGAAATTGAAAAAGCAGCTCGAATTTATAGAGCAGGTGCTTTGAGAACTCATCATCCACATCCGTCTTGTTTCCCTTGCCACTACTGGTGGGAAGTGCACTTGGAGCAGGGAGGGAGGCTTTGGAATCAGAGGAGACATGGATACTGAGGTGAGTTTGCAGAGGTCCATGGCCAGTTCATGGCGTAGGCACAACTGGGATTCAGAACCATTCTCTGTTAAGAATGCCTGGTACAGAGATGAGGTCCAGCCCTTTCACTTTCGAGATAGACAAACATACCTTGAGGAAAGGGGCCCGATTAGCTTCCTCCATGAGGGAAGGGCAGCCCCAGGTCTAGGTCAGTGTCTTCTGGACTCCTGCACCAGTGCTCTGAAGACCCAGTGAGGCTTCCAGCAGAGAGAACTCTAACTAAAACCGTGGACTTGGGGGAGTTCATTGAGCCTCGGCTTGGCACTAGAGTTGATGCTTTTATATTTTAGGTCATGGTATTTTAGTATGAATATAAAAATCATCATGAAGGCTCAGATAATTGGCTAAGTGCCTTCACATTTTCAGCTCTATTATGCCTTTGGTTTTATTAAACAGCACTTACCATATATCAATGAATATTTCATTGGTCTTTCATTACTGAACAAATCATTGACAAATCACTGCAGTGGGGTTAACTTGACCCTGCCTCCTTGAAATGGCATTGTGCTCGCCATCTCATTAGCAAACATTTCTATGGCCATTATTTGGCTTAAAGTTCAAATAGTTCAAGAATTTGGAACCACATCATTTTAAACTTTTCTGTCTTGCCATCAGCCTACTTGACTAGAATTCTCTATGCACATAAATGACTGTCTTGAAATTGACCTTCACTCCTGAGCCATCAGAGCAAAACATTTGGGGTCCATTCAGTCACTCATTTCCACACAAAAATAATTTTTCTACAATACTCACTTTCCATTCCCTACCCACGGAGATGGTATCTGGGCGACTTTTGAAGCATTTTGCTAAAAGAGAGAGAAAGAGAGAGAGGGAAATAAGGACATCTATTTTGTGTTTTATTAATTCAGAAACAGATGGAAGTGTGATTTAGAGCACATTAATATTGATTGCAGCATTTCGGGATGTAGAGCTGGAATGTATGTGCACGTCAGCACACCACGACGCACACTCGATGAAAATAGCTGGTTAGGATAATTAGTGGGCTCCAATCAGGACCATGAAAGTCACTTGATGAAAGATCTCATACACTAAAAGGCCCAGTGAAATCAGACTCAGTTCTCCAAGAAGTGGTTTAATTATACTCATCTGAAATTTATTCTGCAAAACAAGCTCTTCAGAGTACAAGTAAGCTTTTCACCTTTAGCTCCAGTTGCAAACTTTTTCCCTGGGCTACAGAGTGGGCTATAATTTGTGATATCCCAAGAATGTGCCAGAACCAAGCAATGCTTTTTGGTTCGTTTTAGGAAGCATCTTGACTTGCTATGTTTACACACAAATTTTCATGGCTGATGACTTGTTTAGCAATGCAACTGGTCCTGAGCTGCAGTGCAATGGAACATGGAAGGCTGAACATTCTTTTATTCCTCTGATGGAACTGGGCTGGTGTAAAGAATTGGCTTCCTGAGCCGAGAATTTAGCTCAGTGGTACCACACCTGCCTCCAAAGCACAAGTTTGAACCCCAGTTGGCATCACTATGATAGGACAGGGATCAGGCTGAAATTCTAGAAACACAGATGGTCAGGGCACCTGTGGCACTGAACCCAGCTGATGTTCTCATGTCGTCCAACTTGGCCTCCTTTTTGCAAAGGTGTATTGTGGAGAGGATCAGCAAATCCTTACTAGCACTAGAGGAAGCATTGTTGGAAGGTATAATAGCCATTCCTAGCTAGCACCTGGCTAATGATTGCAAGGTTCAAGGGGCTCATCCCCAAATTTTGGCATTGCATTTTGTGGCTGTTGTCTTTTAACTTTTTGCTTGTAAATGAAAACTGCCAGCTACCTAGATGATGGCTTTATTTGTTTGCCTTTGTTTTGGCAACCAAGGTGATACATTGTCTTAAATTGCAACCACTGCACTCCAATATGCCCCATGGCTAAAGGGCTTTCAAGGCTGTAGCTGTCTACCCAGATTCGGGCAACCACAGAGACTTCTCTTACTGCCAAAAAGAATCCTGGGCTCAAGTCTTGGTTAACAAGAGACTGGCCATAGCTACAGACACAAACTGTGCCCATCCTAGAGGCAACTTTCCTCTGACTACAACCGACAGGCTGCCAAAGGTAGAAAACAGTCAGGGGATTGCACTATTCTACCTTCTCAGACAGGAGTCAGCAGGTGCCCCGGGATGGGAGCTCTCTGCTGAACCCTGAGGGAGGGGTGGGAGGGTCATGGCCAGGCAGGATGGCAGAGGGTAAGCCTCTGATCTTGCCTTTGTCATTTGACATTTAGTAGTATGCCTGCCATGTTTCATTAGTGATTTTTATCACCATATAACTATAAATTATACAAAATAAGGATTACCTTAAAATATTCCATCAGTGATCTGGAGTATTTCATAGCATGGTCCTTCTTCAGTTTAAACATCCTTAAGTAGAGAAGTGATAAACATCTGTAGCTGCAGTGATAATGAAAGGATTGTTAATACTAGTGCCTAAGGAAACCTATAAACAAATGCTGATTCATATGTTGCAGATTCTCACCTATGATCAGACAACATAAATACATAAAGAATGTTTTCTAAAGAAAGGAGGGAAGCATTAAAACTGTATAAATTAGGGTATAAATTAGGAACGTAAATGTTGAGGCAATGAAAAAAATCCACTAGTTAGCCTTTAACAGTTCAATGGAAAATAAGAATGGTAAGCTGAGGAAAGCAGCTAAAGTTGACCTGGACTTTTCACATCATTCTGTGGTGTTTCAGCTGTTTCCCTGTGGTCTCCATGGGATGCAGGGACTCACCATAATACTGCCAGCTTTTTGTCTCCATCAGAAGCCAGGGGGCTTGCGAAGTTCTTCAGCCTCATTGCGTACCTTTGGAGAGAAAGGAAAAAGTCAAGTGGAATTTGGAATACACTTCAGACATAGGCCAAAGAAGGTAGTTTTCTGATGGCCGGAGTGTGCTAGCCCCATCACTTGCACGAGGCAGGACAACAGGACTGATGTGACATCGAGAACTGAACTCTGGGGAAGTCAGTGAAATCATAAAGCCCATGGGCTAGAACAGTGCTGTGGAATCACCTAGAGCTTGTGTGTGTCTAAATGCTGGCAAAGTTATTTCTAGGAACATTCTAGCCAAACATCATTGGTTTTCAATGAAGGATGGACAAAAATGTTGGTCTCTGCTTAGTTTATCACAGATGATGTAAATAATAACTGTGTTTCAAATGGGCACAGGGAAACCTCAATAACACGGATAAAGGTTTTTTTCTAATGGCCTGGCTTTGAATATATTCTTTTTTTCCCTGATAAGTTTATTGGTACATTTAAAGTGAACAATACAGTTACATTTATCATTGGGATCTTGTACCTTTACATGATGTGTCTTGGTTCTCATTTTTCCCCATTCCCCTGCCCTCTCTTACCCCCTTCACCCTTCCCTATTTACAAAGGCTTTGTTTCCATTTTTTCTTTTCCCTTATTTCCTCTCCCCTCTCCTTCCCATTTCCTCTTTAGCCATTTCTTCCTATTTCACACTATTGATTATACCATTTCAACCTTACTTACCCTTTTAGTTTTTCAGAACAGAGAAATTATTCAGTATTTACTCAAGTGTGTCCTATTTATTTCTCTTAAGAGTATGGCCTCAGTGTGCATCCATTTAGCTATAAATGTCTCTAGTTTCTCATTCTTTATGGCTGAGTAGTACTCCATTTATATAAAAACCACATCTTTATAGAGAGTGTTTTTTTTTATTTAAAGGAAGGTCGATTTCACAGCATTTTAAGGTCTAAGCACCCTTAATTTATAGTCCTTGTATATTTTGTCTTGCCATTCTCTTTAATTGCTACTGTTCCATACTGGGGTGATAAAGGGTTGAGTAGTTCCCATTTTCTTCTTCCACCCAAGCACACTCCATTCTGGGCATTTAGCCTCTTGAAAATCAATTCATTGCATAAAGTCATTGTGTGAGCTTTAATGCAATTTCACAGGTCCTTGTGGTAGAATAAGTAATGGAGTTCAGTGCGACAGAAGGGAGTTTCAAGTGCATGAGCAGGCAGCCTGGACTACTTGTCATTTACGAGAAGGCAACGAAGAACCTGCAGGCTTCCACCCTTGCCTGCCAGGCGGCTCACTTCAAACTGGGGGCCCCAGGCTCAAGCTCCAAGATTTCGGGCCTCCTTGGCCTTCTGTCTGTTTTGCTCTCAGAGTTCCTGCTCTAGTTCTGTTGCCTGAACATTTCCCAACAAAAGGACTCGCACACTTCATGTGGGCCTCTTCTGTTATTGCAATATTAAGCAAAAGGATTTTTATTATGTAATAAATCTGACTTTTCTTGACAGCTGGATCACTGAAATGTCAAGTCCCCGTGATGGCCCACTTGTTTTTGCAAATACATTTCCATTGCAGATGCCCAGGGCTCAGAGCAACTATAATTACTTGAATGAAGAAAATGGGGCTTTCTCTCCATAGCCAGTATACTGCTGGGGAGAGAGTAATAAAAATCTCTTCAACATAATATTGCGCTACTAAAAACTACATTCATATTACAGTCACCCTCTAATTGCAGCCACATTTGAAGTGACTTGATAGTGGAGTTTCAATTGCTTAAATGGACCAGAAGACCTACTTGCTTAAACTCATTTTATTCCCAAATGAAAACTCTCATTTTAAAAAACATCCACATATGCAACTTTTAGAAAATATAAAACATATAGATAAGACACAAATGGGCACGTGAGAAACCGAGAAAATCTGAAAAAAAATTGTTGAAATCTGAACAGTCTATGGATTGTGTCAATGTCACCATACTGGTTGTGAAACTGGGTGAAGGGTACACAAGAACTATGCGCTTCTACAACTGCACATAATTACTTCCAAATAAAATTTAAATATATCGATTTTAAAATGAATGCCAACAACTCTATCGACTTCCACCAGGCTCCATTGAAATATACACCCACAGAGAGTAAACTATCATGTAATGAAAGAATAAATCATGCTTAGAAGAAAAGAAATTTTTGGAAACAAGGCAATAGAAGTGTTTTCTAATGGAAATAAATATTACTTAGTGATTTGCATCACATTTTAGCCACACAATAAAATTTGGCATTTTGTTTTTATATTTTTGAGACCATGTATTTTCTTTAAAAAGAAATTAATTTTAAAAAATTGTATGTATAGAGAGAATACACCCAGAACCTTACCTCCCTATTATAGCTTTCATTTCCCTTCTGGTTTGATCCAGCTATATATGACCTATTCGTGGTCATAATTGTCATGTGCATATAATTCTGCAGCTTGAATGATATTTCATTATTTTTCAGTGTTCAGGATGCACCCTAGGGTCTCCCACATGCTAGATAAGTGCTCTACCACCGAGCCACTCTCCTAGGCTTGATGTTATAAACATTTTCATGTGCTGTTTAGTCTCTCCACCATTATCTTATTGTAATGACTGCAACATGTTGTTTAACATTCTATGATGTAATTAGTTACTCTTTTATTATTGCTTTGATTCTAATTGTGTGTGTGTGTGGGTGTGTAGCCAAAATGAACACCAAACAGATAACTTGCTGCACTGTTACAAGTATGTTCTTCAACAGAGGAAATTCAGCTTCCGGAGGTCAAAGTACTATACCAAAAGACATAAATGCTGGCTTCTATACAGTATCAAGTGGCTCTCATTCTCCATTGATCAGTTTCTACTCCCGTCTGCAGTGTAGGACAGACTTAGTTCATCATGATTTGTTTTCTTTTTTCTGCTAATGCTAGGTACGCACATTGTCACATTTTCTTGTTAGTTTAACATATGCCTTCTTTCAATTTGAATGACTAGAGAGCATAAATTGTCTCTGTTTATTCATTAATGTTCTCCCTCAATTTTTGAATCATTATAATTTTTGACCAGAATGTTCATCTTTTGGAATACTTTGCTGGAAAATGTGCACATTAAATCTGTCCAATATCTGACTGAAGCTTTAGGTACGAGTATCCTCAGATCTGTAGCAGTTTATGCAGCTAGAAGCACAGGAGTATAAACCACGTCTGGCATTATTTGAGTGACTGAGCCAGAGGGGAGTGGGAAAGACAGGGCTATCAGGTAAAGAGCTACTCACTCAATTAAGAGTGATAATTAGTTCTTCCTGTGAATGATGATACTTCTTTGGTATTCCAGGATAGGTTGCATTCTTTTACTAACATTTGCAAAGCACTGGAAAAGATCAGAGTGGATATTTCTTCTTCTCCTACCCCATCTTCATCTGCTTCTACACAAAAAAATTTTTTCATTTCCTGCAAGTTCTACTCCAAGACCAACGGGCCAGAAAATTTCATTTAAAATGTAAATGAAACCAATAATGTGTGCAATTAATATGCCCTTTCCTATTCTCACCCTCTCGTCTCTGCCCTACCCCTGCCACCACTCAGTGTGTTTTTCTTATTCCAGATGCAGGAGAAAGCTCGCTCCACACCTGCGGCCTTCTGTGCTGACTTTGAGGTGGAACAGTCCCCCCTCCCTTTTTAATAACCAAGACCGAAATTCTTAGAAAACACAGCTTGTAATAGAAATCCTGAGAGCACCACTTTGTTTTGAATTATAAAACTGTACCTTTGAAAAGACAGGTCGATCCAAGCAGGGAGATGATGATTCTTTACTTCTGTCTACTGTTTCCATTTTAATTTTATGAATATGGCAAATGATAAGACCCACGTCGTAACCTCGGAAGGGGATCATTTATAAAGACAGTGGCCATCAAATACAAATTTTCTGTGCCATTAAGAAGATGGCTTCTAAAGAAGATGCCTTGGATACATCATTAATATGTGGGAGTGATATTTTAAAAAAACCATCACAGCTTCTAATTCCAATTGAAACGAGCCCAGGACAGTAATGGTAGAAAGAGCACTCACCTGAGGAGCTCCACAGTCTCGGAGTACATGGTGTACGGGGACTTGGCTTCCAGAGGGTCGCGCTCCATGGCATTGCCACATTCGGTGAAGGAAAGGGCAGCGTCGGCGTAATTCACAGCTTTGCCAAATTTCTCGAACTGAAACAGGAAAATCACCTCGTCAACATGATAACTCCCTTCTTTCTGTCATCCAAACTGCGTGATTTACAACTGATGGTAATTTTATGCCCTTTCCCCTGTGGAACATTTGGAGACGCCTGGAAACACTTTCAGCTGTCACCACAGGGGAGGTACAGGGGGAACCTCTGGGGCAGATGCCAGAGAGCTGCTAAACCATTCCACCAAGAAGACTTAGCTGGCAGAGATATGGGGAGTGCCCAGGCTGAGGAATCCTGATAAGCAGAGAGGACAAGGTATGGCTTGGTTGTGATGAGGAAGGAACTAGTTTAGGGTTCTATCATGACACTGAGGCTGGCTGAGGAGAAACTGCAGCTGAGGAATCTCGTGAGGTTGGTAGTGTTATTGTTGCTGTTATTATTGTCATTTACCTGAATCAGAAGCCAAATCAATGCTGTGACTAGTTTGCAATCATTAAATGCAGTAAACTGGCCAGTCACCGCAGTGTCCTTTATGCAGTGCTGGTGACTAAACTACTCTTTGTAAGCCCTCTGGGCAATGAACATGTCCAGTCCCTGTGAGTGCACTGACCCCATCCCCAGGAGGATTGATGTTATTGTCATGAAAAATGTGAAGCTGTAGGACGCCTGTTGACAATAACCACATCACTTTCATTGTAAATGATGGTTGGAATAGCATGTCAAAAAGCCCAAAAATATAGCACCACTCAATATTTTAGTTTAGTAAAATTTTAGCACAAAAGGTTTTAGTCCTGATAACAGTCACGATTAAACTGATTTAGACACGCTGATTTCTTTTTCATGTGTAATGAATATTACATATGACACTTTTATAGTGAGTGCTTTATAACAGGATTTAACATTTTCAATTTTTGATAGCTGGATATAAGATTTCCACTAATATGGTATTTTATTTCAAATAGCCAATATAATACAGATTTAGCTATTTTAATTTTCTTGTATACCTTTTATCAAAATATTTTCTATGCAACCATGAAAGTTTCAATTCTCAAGCTGGCAGAGTTGTCTCTGCAAAAAGATTAAGTACAACCATAAAATGATTAGTTACTGGCCCTGCAGAATCTCTCATTGTAAATGACTCTCTTTATAATAAATGTCCTTTAGCTTTCACATACTGTAGGAATTCTGTGGTTTCCTTTCTGCAGCTATTGTGGAAAAGCACTGGTTTCAAACAAATTCAACATAGTTTTACGAAAACGTTTGTATGCGTATGCAGACTACCTCCTTTCTCTCTTGCCTTACAAGATTGTTTCCTCAGGCTTCGTGGTTCTCCCATTTGGAAATTAATTTTTATATCCTGATTTTTGAAAGTCACTTTTTGTTCACAAACCCATAGCTGGAAGAATCTATAAAGATCATCTCCCCAAGCTGGGTGTGGTGGTATACTCCTATAATACCAGCACCATGGGAGGCTGAGGCAGGAAGATCATACATTTAAGCCCAGGATTGGCAATTTAACAATTTAACAAGACCCTGCCTCTAAATAAAAAAAAAGAAAAAAAAGGTCTGGGGAGGTAGCTCCATGTGAAGGCCCTGGGTTCAATCTCCATAAACACAAACACACACACAAACACACAATCATCTCCAAAGGCAGAACAAACTGAGGTCAGAGGAAAAAAAATGACTTAGCCATAGTGCCAGTTATTGGGAAGATTATATCCTTAGGCCTCTGTTATTTTTCTATCCATAAATCAAGGGGCTTGAACTACAAGGGTGCTTCCAATCCTATTATAGAGATAAGATGGGCAAAAATATCTTACCTCTGAGTATGCTTCAGCTTTTTTTTAGCATTGTTATCAACCCTGAAAGAGTTTTTTTATGTTCCCCCAATTAATGTTTTTATGGTACTATGACTTGAACCCAGGGCCTTTGCACTAAGCTACATTCTTAGCCCTATCATCTATCTATTAATCAATTAACTAATTAATTAATTATGGGGCAGGGTCTCAAAGTCATCCAGGCTGGACTTACACTTGTGTTCCTTCTTCAGTCTCCTAAGTGCTGGGATCACAGGCGTATATAACCAGGCCTGACTTCCCCCAAGGAAATCTGAACATGAATGAGCCTGCAGCTCATTGCAATATCTAAGGTTTTTAAGTCTCACTTCAGAACCAATTTTTGTCATGGGAGTAGAGCCACTCAATTGAGAATGCATCCTCTAGAGTGATTTAGAGATACATATATAAACAGTACCCGGAAGGTAAAGTGTTGTTAATTCTTTCTTTGTGGGGAACAGGTCCTGGTTATGGAACTCAGGGCCTTGAACATGTGAGGCAAATGCTCTACCACTGAGCTACATCCTGAGTCTTTCATATTTTCTTTTTTTTTAAATTTTTGGGACTGTGTCTCATCAAGTTGCCCAGGCTGACCTCAAACAGAATCTTCCTGCCTCAGTCTCTCACATAGCTGAGATTACAGATGTGCAACATTGTGCCTGGTGTTCTATTAATTCTTAATCATTTGCATATATTTCTGTGGCTCTATTTTTTTTGTTTTCCAAATGTCTCACTAGTGTGTTCTCACACACACATCCCAGCCATCAGCTCATGTAACAGCTTGTAAAAGGAACATCTATGTGCTCCTGTGCCCCAATTTTGATAGAGGGCAGGCACCAGAGTACTTCTGAAATACTGTGGAGTTGAGGATATTTGGAGAAAACCTCTGGCCTTTGAGCCAGCAGCACTGCCACCTTTCAAATCTCTTCCTACCTATCCAATGGTCACAGGCATCATCTGCCTGGTATCTATTGGAACTGGCTTTTAGCTTGCCTTGTCATTTTTGTTATAGAAGTAAGAGAAAACTGCTTCCAGGGGACAAATTACACCACACGAAGGTTAGCTCTAGAGAATAGCTAAGCAATTTGGACCACAAGGGAGAATGACACAGAGTAAGGAAGGAGCAGATACAAGAGTCACGGGCAGTTGATGTTGGCCACATATTAGTTGTAGCATAGATGCTGTCACGATATTCCACCCCAGCCTCCCCAGTGATGAACACAGCTGAGTTTTGGCTAGACATAGTGCAGTGATATAGGATGCTGTTTCTTCTCACAGAGGGTTGAAATGATACTTCCAGTTGGTCTTGGGTTTAGTCAATTAGGACAGTTGTTATCATATAAGTTTTGGGAATCGTTCGGGGAGCTTCAGTTTTGGAACTGTCTAGTCCCAGAAATTCTGATTGTGTTTGTCTGGGGTAAAGCCTGAGCTTCCCAAGTGATTATACCATGTAGGTGCAACCCACCATTAAGAAGATCAGTTAGGTCAAACAGTTTGGTATATTGAGTTTAGCACTAGTTTAAATTGCCAAGACCCTTGGGAAATCCAGATGACAGCACAGTCTTTCTCTGCTCAGGATCCCAGTCTGACTGTGGGCCTCCCTCTGGGAACACATAATCAAATATAGCAAGAAGCTAAGCTTTTTCTGCAGATCGGAGTTTCCCAGAGCCAGGTTTTGAGGCCAGTTACTCAGCCCTCACACCCTCCACTCCCCACACCCATTCTGGTTTATTGGGCCCAATGGGAGTGTCTTTCATCTCCAGGGTTTTCAAATGCCATTTCAAATTCGCTTTAAATATAATGACAAAGAGCTTCTGAAGTCAGGGAGGGTAGTGGGGGGAGGACAGTGGGAAACAAGAATGATAGGGAACCCAGCTCAAATAAATGTGGGGATTATTATGCTAAGCAATGAAGCAGTTCTAAGTGCACCATGCTGGAGCGCCAATGCATTGCAAAGCAGGTTTGGGGTGTGCTGCTTGAAGTTTACCTTGTTGTTAAAGTGTCTTCCTGTTTTCTTTCAAAGCTTAATATGTGGTAAGAACAAAGCACTGAAAGGAAGGACACCTACCAGTGCATCTGCTTTGTGCTTCAGCTTCTTAGCCTCTTGCATGTAATAATCAGCATTGTGAACCCTAGGCAAACAAAACAAGCTCTTTTACAAACCAGTGGCTCATCTTTTAATCAAAAGACTAAATAGTCACAAACGTTGTTTGCTATAAGTCCGTTCATGTAACAATGTTCTGAAAAAAGGCAGGGTAATGCTGTCATTCCTTTTATAAAACAACATAGAAATACTATTGTAAATGAAACTTGCAGTGCATAATGGCCCATTAGGATAAATAACCACACCCTCCAACCCTAATCATTACAGCTATCTAGTAGGTCACAGAAAACCTACCTCTTAATCTATGTACATATGAGGACATGGTTAGGAAAGGACAAAAAAAAAAAAAACCTACAAGAGGAAGCACTTGCCTGTGTAACAGGCACAAAGCTTCATAATTAAAATGAGCCAAGGAAATTTCTCAGTGGGGCTAGAGGTGTGTATGTGAGGGGAGAATATACTTTTAAGGCTACAGAACAGGATGTTAAGGTCTTATGTGGGGTGGAACACGCAAGACACAGGAAAAGCCAGGCTGCCCACACTCCCACCCTCAATTGCCACCGTCAGACTGTGTCTATGATAATGTGGGGACAACATACGAGTCATCGAAAGTGAGCTTGGGTCTCCGAACGTTAGTGCTGCTGCTGGACAGAAGAGGCAGAGCTGCCCAGGACGTCATCTCCAGGTGACTGCTGTCCATGAGGCCAGTAGTGATAGTAGAGGTGATGGTGGAAATAGTAGTGGTGGTGGTTGTAGTGGTGGCCGTGGCAGTAGTGGTGGCAGTAGCTGTGACAGTGGCAGTGACAATGGCAGTAGCAGTGACAGTGGCATTGGCAATAGCAGTGTTGGAGACATTGACGGTAGCAGAGGCAGCCTTTTTTGCAGTGTCTCCCTCCTGAGAAAAAGGAGGAAAAAGAGCGTCCATTAGGTTCAGTTTTCTAGAACAACTTTTCATAAATGTTTTGATGGTCAAGCATAGCAGGAAACAAGGCAAGGAAAAAAGCAATACACACAGCTTCATGATGGATAAATATGTCACCCTGGTATATTTTATGAGTGCTATGAATCACCAGCTTTTGTTCTATGATGACACCAACCCCAAATTAGTGTTGAAACTACACAGCCCCAGTGGGGTGGACAGGCAGGAAAGAGTTCTAAAGCCAATGGGAAATGGGAGGTGGGAGAAGGAAGACTGTAGAGAGGAAAGATGAATAAAAGGAAGAAGATGCAGAAGAAAAAAAAACAAAAATAAAAAAGGGGAGAGAGACAGAGGTGCACATGCAGGGGGTGAGGGAGGGAGTGAGGAGGGGCATGCTAACTAGGGTCTTTGATCCTAATATGAGTACTTTTGATATTAGAACCAGCCCTGAAACTCTCTTGAGGGCAAGTAAAGTCCTCAGGTCACACTGAGAAATACCAGCCTTGACCCAATAACATACACAAACACCAGGCCATGTACTGCAAAAATCAGTGCCCTGCTGGCCTGAGACTCAAGCAGCCCTTTTGTTCATGTGAGCATCTCAACTGGTTTTCAGGTAGGTGAGTGTCATGTGAGTACACCTCATTTTGAAGTGCTGGGATGGTGAAGCCTCATTTTCACCAGATTAAAACTCAAATGGCCAAGAGATTTATGAGGGCGCCACTTTGAACTGTCACTGCCGTAGAGAGAATGGGACCCAGAAGAAGATAGGAGGTGACAAGGTTTGTTATTAAGGGACAGTATTGTATTGCAGGCTCACTTGCCATGTTCACACCCCACCTTGGCAACTGTGGAACTATCCTGACTAGTGTATGTCTCACAAGCCTTTCTGAAGCACCTCGTCCTACTTCTGCTCTTCTAAGTCAGTGTCTCTGTAAGACTCCTATGCCCTAAAGTTCCTTCCTCGGCTTTCTTCTCAGATTTGTCAATCCTGTGTGTGTTGACACGATTCAACAGTAAGCAGACCATTCCCGAATGGAAGCTTCAATCTTACTCTCTTTTCCAAAGCCTCCCAACCTCTTGTGACAACTCCTGGACAGTTCCGACAAGATGGCCAATTAGCACTTCAAATTTCTCTTGATTTAAATTGGTAACCAAACCAGTTCCTTTTTTCTGTTAATGGTAGGATGGTGTTTCCTGATGACAGCGCCCCTCCACCTCACAGCCCAGCATCATTAGCATTTGCTGAGTGCATACACGCACATATGGCTTCATGTCTACCTTAGCCAGGGGGTTCAGTGGAAAGCTAAAAGTCAAATGTGATACTTCTTATGTTCACATCATACGCACAATGCTGATGTCACTTCTGGAACATCTGACCAGAAAAGGCAAGATACATCCATGATTCAAAACAAAGATGTACTCACGATCGTGGAAATTATATAAACATGTCATCTGTCCACACTCACCCATGCATTGAGCTAATAAACAGGACTTCATGTCTAAATGGGATAGGGAAGACTCTGAGAGCACAAAATTGAAAGCACTCTGGGAGCTAGAAGAATCCACTCATTTTCTGAACCCAGAGGAGATGCTTCATGGTCCTTAAAGAAGGATGAAGCATTTCTAGGAGCAAATATAACCATATTTATCATGTTTCCCCAGTAGTTTTTAGCTCTTATGGAAATGGCTGCAGATTCTTGTAAACATTCTCATTATCATAATAACATCAGTATTATTTATAACATGTAATTATTGCTAGCAATATATTCGGCATTATTTACAACACCTAATTATTTGTGACAATATACTAGGCGCTATACAAAAAGAATTCCCCAAAGAGTTGCATGCCCTCCAAAAGCTTGTAGTAGAAAACAGAATCAGTCAGAGTTCATAATATTAATTATACTCAGTATGAAAAATTGGATGCGTAGTGTAATTACTGTTTAGAATAGATGGTTTAATTCCCAACACTGTAGAGTCAGCATCATTAAATGTGTATGGGAAATGACTCCATACAAGTATAATTCATTTATATAGGTAATGAAATCTACCTAGATATGAAAGTCATCTCAATCATATCAGATGATAGAATACAATCAGTTGGGGTCTTTAAAACTCAGAGAAATCATGGCTTTTTATGGGGTGTTAAATGGGACCTTTGGCTCAGGGTCCAAAATGTCAGTTACAAACTCATGAGAATGTTTGTTATTTCTTTGCCTTTTATATTAGATTTTTAAAAAGACTAGATGTATATAGATGAGACATATATATGATTTTGGTATTTTTTGGAGGTGGTGGTTTCAACAGTTCGTGTGCCTATACCCGAGACAAATGAAAAGGGATTGCATGTGGGTATGAAAACTGATGCAAGCTTTCATTTATCTATGTTAATTGAACAGCAGTGCACAAAATCCAATGAGCCACAGCATCCTTTAGCTGACTCATATCTGCAAATTTAGCAACAGAGCCACCAGTTTAATTCTATCCAATTGAATCACTATTTTAGGAAACAATCCAAATTCTCCAAGCTGAGTAGTAGAAAGATGCAACCTGGAATTTCTGTGTCAGTTCAGCCACCGTGGATAATACCCCTCCATCCACTTGTTCCTTCAGTCACTAAATAATCTGTGCCTGCCATGTGCAAGATACTGTGGTCAGTACTGTGGAAGTATCTTCCCGAACCCCAAGATCTGAAGAGACCGGACCAAAGAAGGCCCGAGTCCCCCCACCTCTGCACTCGCAATCTGTTTGGGAAGGTGAGGAGGGGAATTAATCTGGAGTACAAAATTCATGCTGAGTTAGGATAATAGAGATTTGAAATAAAAGTAATGGAGAGTTTATATGTTTGCATACACGCCCACACCACATCTATATGTTGTCTGTGCCTCTTCTTCCCCTCCCCATTGCAAGATCTGCTCTGGTCAAGTGAAGTTATGTGAGTGGGATGAACTTGTTTCCATATGACAATTACAATCTTTCTTTGAAGACACTTACGCTTACAGATATCCCTTTGAAAGTAGCACAGAATTTGCCTTCGCTTCTCTTCGGTTTAGTAAAGGTGATTTGTCCAGTCATGGAGATGTTTTTGTCTTGACTGAAGGGCCCATTATTTCCACTGACGTTTCTGCGGCGTGGAGGGTCCTCAGGCAGTGGGGAAAGTGGAGGAGGAAATAGTTTTTCTTCTTTCCTTCTATTTGCTCTCCTGGATGAATTACTTCTGTGGAAACAAAAACTATGGAGTATCAGAAAGTGTTATCTTGCTCTATTCTGATTTTGCCCTCCAATGCTAGCACTTTTAATGTAATTAAAATTATATTTTACTTGATAAACCTTTCCCTATGGTGAAGAATATATAAAAAAATGCATGTACACACAGATATCGATACAGATATCTCTCTACATATACATAGATAGGCATACATTTGCATTCAAAAATAAATACCTGCCTTTGAAGCAGAACTCCAGGACAAATGTAAATGCCTCAGGGAATTTGCTGCAGTATAATATTTACAATCTATTGAAATTAGATGGCTATTAAGTAGATTTAAAAATATAATACAGACTTTAATCTCATCATTTTAGGATGGCTCCTACTTATTTTGCCCTAGGACTTAAGTAAACAATTGTGCAGTAGATGGTTTAATATACAATAAGTGGAAGGAGACTTCTTTAAGAAATTGTATGCTTATGTGTTACTTAGAAATAAATTACAAATGAAATACTATTGGGATACATTACAAATTAAATATACAAAATGTTCTACTCTATCACAGAGGCATAATGAGTCCCTGACCTTAAAGTGTTTTATTGAAGTACTGAGGTACTCCACAAAAGTCCATTTTAAAAATATTCTTTCGTCATATTGACATGAGATATCTACAATCCTATAAGTACTCCCATGCTTTCAAGCTGATTTATCTGCCCATTAAATAGGCACCATCAAAGAGACTGAGACTTCACATAAAACAGAACAACTAAAATCTTATGCTAACTGCTTAACATGGTAATTGGGGCATGGATTTTCATTTTAGTTACTGTCTTAGACTAATCAATGAAGATTACTTGAATTTTAATCTTTTCTTAGACAACTAATATTGCACTGCACAGCCATTTACTCTTCATGATTATTGACTACAATTTTCAATAGCAAATTAAGTCCACAAGAATTTATGTTTTCCTCTCGGTCAATTTCAGTCAGTATCTAAAAATATAGATTTGCCATATCTCAAAGCAACAAATCAAAGATGAACAAGCATTGAAATGGTCTGAGCTCTTAAAGTAGAAATCAGTGCAAACTCCTTGTTCCACTTTCGCTATGTTGCACAAATTTGCCAACTGTAACAATACATGTCATCTTCACCTTTTTTATTATAACTATGGCCCTATGTCATTTTATTGTCATATAGTGAAATGAACAAAACATCTTAGGTGATTCTGCCATTACCTTAATCCATTAAAATTAATATAAAAATGTTTGCCAATGGATTTTTAAATTTGCTTTGAAATGTAGAACCATTATATGGTAGTTGTGATGCCTGATAAAGATGAAGAGGAATACGTAGACTAAGATTCTTGTCCACAGGGATGCTCTACCTTCAGTAGACTACATAAAATGCAGGAATTTCAGAGACATCTGACCTTTGGAAATTAATATATACACATGCCAAGCCTTGCATCTATGGGAGGTGAATAATTCTTTAGTGATCACTGTTATACAACCTGAGCTGGTTGAGAAGATCAGTAGGGGCTGCAAGCGGAAGAGTACCTGCTGAGAAGCAACTCATTTGCTATTGTTTACCATGGTCAAAGCTTTCCCATGTGCCCCTGAACTGGCCATCAGGAACTTGGTGCATTCTGTGTGGTGGGTGCTGGTAACCTTGCCCCCTTTCCATCTGTCTGGTAGTGACCTGGAACCATGGTGTCTTTAATGACTTCCTAGGCAAAAGATACCCAAGGAGCATTTTCTAGAGATCACTTGCTTACTATTATGACTTCCAACCATAGGGATTTTTATCTTTGGGTCCCTCTTTAAATAGGCTAACAAAGGATATCAGACAAGAGCAGTGCACCATCACTGCCTGTCAGTCCCTCAGAGGGACTGCTCAAGGGCCAAGCACCAGAGGAGAGGAGTAGATCCGTAAGGCCCCTCTCTTGGATGACAGGCAACTTCAGTTGTCATAGTCTACTGTGTCATCTTTGCTAGGTCTAGAATAACCATTTGAAAAAGTGAATGTTGTCTCATGAAAAGGCCTAAGGGTTTCCTGTAAAGTGTCAAAGGCATAAGGGAGCAGAAAATGCTAGAGAGAAGATCCCCAAGAGAAGGCCTTGAAGACACCAGTCCTTGTGCCATTCTTCCTCATTTTTGGAGATCTGATTTTGTTCAAAGAGCCTAAGAACTTGTTCCAGACCCTTCCTGAATACCAAAGGATTCCAGGCAAACATTGCTTTCCTGTCTAATAAAAAAGCAGGGAGACTGTAAAACTGTACATTAAAACTACCATTTTAGAAAACCAAACACAAATGACTAGCTATTTCCTTAATACTTGGTCCCCTCTCTTCCATAAGACAGAATTAATGAGCCACTGAGTTGAGTAGTCAGGACACTCCAGGACCAACATCAGGGACTGATGGTGGTGGCGATGCCTTGCTGCCTCTGCCTTTGTCTATGAATGGATGTTTCAGAGCCAAGTTGTAGCAGAGAGTATAGATACGCCTCCCACATAGCTACTGATCCTCAGGGGGAGGGCAGCCCAAAGCTCCTTGCTATATACATGGGACCTAGAGATTAATGGTTTCTTCCTACCTTCCATCTCAACACTACAAGGATCCAGACCCATGCAAACTGATAAATTATTTCAGACATCTGATCTGTGGCAGATTGATGCCATATCACTGATGTTAAACAGTAATCTGTGAAATCAATTGTATAGCAGCAGTTAGCCAGATTGTCTCTGCTCTGGGCTGCTAATAGGCTCCAAAACTGGGCTTTGATGGAAGTAATCTCTAATGTTGAATGAATTTATGGCAATAATTACCCAGATGGAATGGTTCAAGTAGCTGACATGATTGTTAGTTAAGTGATATTTATAAGACGAAAAGAATTCAGTCACGATGCTTGGTAGAAACAGAGGACGAGACTTCTCTAGGGAAGGCTTATGCTATTTGAGTGAAGAGGGAAACAAGGAAGCCTCTTGCCTGCCTCTGAAACCTTCCATGCGGAGAAGGATGCGGAGAGAAAGTGCAAGTGGGTTGGAATTTCAATATGCATCCCTAGCTGGCACAGAACTGCCCCAGGGAGAGGGCATCTTTCTGACAGCTCATCTCTCAGGCCCTCTCAAACATTCCACTCCCTTATCCTCGGTGGGGTTCACCATATAGCTGCTGGGCCTCAAGCTTTGGATTAACATTAGCTAACGACATCAAAAGAGCAGCAGCTGGGTCACCAGTCAACACCAAGGGGTTGCTTTTCCAGGGAAATTATTTATTTGCCATCAGAACTGAATTTTGGCCAGAAGCAGGCGATCTGGTTAAAGCAATGGGTGTAACTTCACACTACCCATTTTTAACTCACTTTTTACCATTCACTTAGGGTGAAAAGTTCCTTTTGGCTGATTTGGGTGGTCAGTCTGAGCTGGCAGAAAGAAATGTTGCTACAAAGCTCATAGTAACCTCAGACCTGACAGCCTGTATGGCCTGTACCACATCCTTTATCCTCCCCGGGTTACACGAGTGACCAGGGCCAGCTGTCAGGCCTGGCTGAGCTCCTCCTGACTTTTGCCTGACTTTCCACAGGGATTGAATGCCCCAAAAGTGTCCAGTGCGAGTTTCTTAAAAGTCAAAGTAAGCATCCAGAGCCAGGGTGAACTTACTCTCTAGCGCTGGGAGGCTTGTGGGGCGGGACCGGTGAGATGCAAGGGGGAAGCAGGCAGAGAGTGGTGGCCTCCTCCAGGCGCTGCTTCTTCTCCGGGATTTTCTCTGCAGCTTCTGTTGGCTTTGAGAAGGAAAAAAAAAATACACAGGCCTTGAAATACATGACACATTCAGACAAGCATGTTTCAAGCATTAGGAAAAAAATGAGCAAGCTAGACAGTCTGCTGATCTCTTAACTTCTAGATTAGGTAGAGGAGTTAAACGTACATCTTTGATCAGACAGAAAAGCAATCAGCTTTCCCTAGTTTAGTCCTACAGAGAGGTTGGCGTTTGAGAGACTTGAACTGAGATGTGAACCTCTGATTAAAGATTGGGTGGCATGAGAAACTCAAAAGTAAAGAAAGTCTATCCTTTTCAGACACTTTCCTCATCAACGACATGCACACAAATAGTGTGGTTTAGAAACTAACATTGTAATTCTAACATGGCGTGCATCTTGTCAAACGGAGCAGACTGGGGGAACAAGGAGAGGCTACTTTAATAGGGAGATGAGCCTTGTACTAGGCACACCTTTAGATCTTTGCATGTGTTGGCTCTAAAGGTACAGTTGCACCTTTGCTTGCACCACTGTCATTGCTGAGAGAGAAAGCAGTGGAGGGGTAAGGGCTCTAGACCCACTGCTCCCTAATTTGGAAGACTCTCACTGGATATATTTGGTAGACGACTCAGATATCATACCCTCTGCTTTCAATCCCTACACTGAAATTGAGTCAAAGCTGAAATTATTCTTGCAGTAGCCTATTCAACAGGCCACTACTGGCTACAGGTGGGCTGTTCTTCACTAAGGTATTGGAGCTATTCCTGGCATACTTAAATCTCTCCAGCAAGAAATAACAGAAATGGGGAAAGGACTAGGAATCTCCTTTCCAACCACTAAGGCAGGTAACAGTCACCGTTTGGTGTTGTTCTGAAAAAGTACCGAGATCTGGAGATAAAGTAGAATGATCTTACTGGCCACAAACTCATCTTGGTAGATGCATTTCATATGGGAAGGGACATTCTCATTTCCCTTTTTGACGGTACCCTGGAGTATTCAAAGGGAATTCAGCCCCAACTGCCTGCAGGCAAGATATTCCCAGGGTCCTTTTCTTCCTATTTCACATTGCTAACTGTACTGTCTACCTAGAATATACCAATAAATTCAATTAAAAAAAAAAGATATTCCCAGGGCAAGCCTATCATGCAGCCAGTGATCCCAGCGGACCGGGTAGACATGTCTCTGACTCCGAGGGGGCTCCAAAGATGACTGGCCACGAATGTGTTAACGTCTACCTAGAGAAATGAGCAAGCCTGGAGGATGCATCAGGACATCGCGGCACAGCTGGGGACTGCAGAGCAATAAGCCCTTGACAGGAGGAGCAGTTTAAAGAGCTGACTCCAGTGACTGGCGGCAGGGGTGGGGGGCTTTCTTTATATTCTCTCCTACACATGATAATCTCTTGTGTGCCACAGTGGACATTCTTGCTGCTATCTGCCAAACCCCCATCACTCTAATGCTTTGTTCCCGATCACATGTCAAATACTGCATCTCCTGTGGAAAGCAACACCAAAGCTACCATGGATCACCACTGGCCTAATTGAGAAGGAGACTCCAGGTAAAGTGAGGCAGCAGCGGCTGCTCCTGGCCCCTTGCTGGGCCACAGAGCTTACCTTGTGCTTACGCTTGCCCTTCGGGGCTGGTCTTTCCATAGCCGTGGCAGTGGTCTGACGCCTGGCTTTCGAGGCAGACTCCTTGTGATCTGGCTTGGCAGGTGCTGCTTGGAGTGCATTGTGGCCAGGTACTCTGGAAAGTAAGCCAAGGTCGATCTTCACCCAGAGGTTTTTCAGATTCTCATGATCTCGCAGAGGCGACAGAAGCTCAGTTTGCATGATAGGAATGGGTGAGAAACACGGCTCGCCATTGCTGCTGGATAGGCTATTGTTGCTGCTGTTGCTGTTGCTGCTGCTGCTGCTGTTGCTGATTAAGGTGCTGAAGGTCAGGCTAGTACCAGAGGTCTCCTTGGATTTTGCAGGATTGCCTCCAGGAGCTGTGCAAGGAGGCAGGACTTTGATCTGTAAGGTCTCTTCTTGATCTGTGTTGGAGTCAGACGTAGACGAATCTGTTTCGATGAATTCCCGGGACTTTGGCACAATCTTGCCAGGCCCTCTGTACTTCTTCTTCTCAGCAACCAAGGAAATGTTAGGCCTTGGCTCTTTCCTAGGGACTGGTTTGTGGGCGGTAGCTTTGTTGCGGCTTCTTGGTGGGTCAGGAAGCTCCACGCTTTCTTTCTCTTTGGGAGTGCTGTTGGTAATATTTGGTTTGGGCCAGGTAAACTCCTCAATGCTGGTGTTCTTGTCAACCTTTTTGGGTTGTTTCTTCCCAATTGTCCTTTGAGAAGCTGTCTCAACAGTTGTCGACAACTTATGCTTCAAAGCCTTTGTTTCTGGAGGTTTCTGGGTGGGCCGTGGACGGGCTTTCTCCCTAATGAGACTCAGGAGAGGCCTTTCTTTGGGTTCAGCCAATACCTGGCTGGGGTTTGATTTCACTTTGATCTGGACTTCCATTGGCTGGATGATTGGAGGAGGCAGAGAAATCGTCTCCATGGGTGTTTCATTTTGGCCACAAATAAATGACTTGTTCTGAGATGTCACCTTATTAAGCCATTTATCCAGCTGCCACTTGTTGGTTGAGGGGGGCTCAGGCTACAGATTGAGAAAAAGCAGCAAGAATGAATTTCACATCTGCAGCGAATTTAGAAGTAACCTCAACACAGTGACCACTTGCTGATAAAAGCTTTGGCTTTTAAGTGACCAGTCACACCTACACAAGCACACACACTCATGCCCACATACACCACCAACATTAATCGAATCACCTAGAAAGCCAGATATAAGCCAGCTGCAGTCTGATTATTTCAACTAATTCCTACCCTTTCTCTGACAATATTCTACACTCCTGCCAGGAAGGAAAGAGTTATTCACAGGGAGATGTTTCTGAAGGTAGGCAGGGGTGCCTGGGAGGGAAACCTGTTCCCAAAATTCTTTGCTGAGAATCATCACTAGACCTCTCACCAGGAGGCAGTAGTAATGGTCTCTGATCCTGAAAAGAAATCTAAGCATGCCTCGAGTATAATTCAAAGGGAAAAGCTTTCTGTCCACTGAAGTGCCAGTGCCTCCTATGTGATGCTCTTAATTCACTGCAAACAGAACAAGCCTTTTGTGTTTTTACTGGAGGATGAAAAGATTCGAGTTCCAAAAAAAAGTCCCACTGCACTTTCCTCAGTGTATAGGCAATAACCGATTTATGGGGCCATGAATACAGACATTAATGTCCACTGTTAAGCTATGGAAATGATGTGTACAATTTGGGTCCTGGATTCCCAACTCTGAATTCTGCCAGTTGAAGTAAAAGAGCCATCATTTTTATCAGAGAGAGCTCTTCTTTTGAAAGCCATCAACCGAGGCTTACAGCACCAGCCAATAGAGGGTGACAGAATTAAACACACTTGAGTAGCTGTGGTTCCAACCTGCACAGGACAATGGCAGGTAAAAGGTGAAGACACATTGGCTGCCACTGTCAGTGGCACAGCTTTAAAGTGAAGAACACTAAGCTCTGGAGACGCAGTGGCCTGGGGTTCAGTCCTACTCTACTACTGTGCATTGGTGGGATCTTGGGAAAGTTCCTCTCAGGAACTTGCACCCTCGTCTGTAAATTGTGGATCATAACTTGTAGGGCTGTGATGAAGATGAGGTGAGAAGACGCAAGTAAAGAGCTTAGCACAGGGTCTGGCCTCTGTATGTGTTTTCTATCATTAGCAGCTGCAATACTACGACAGCCTACTTCCTTCAGTCCTTTCGATGACTGCAAAACACCTGCACAAAGAGGCAGTGACAGTTAGGTGGGATTTGCTTGCTGTCCCAGCCACGGGCTCTGGGACCAGGGCAGCTACCCTGAACTCAGAGCTAGTTATGGGAAGGGGCGAAATGCTTTTTCATTTCAATGTTCAGATTATTGATTTTTTTTTTAATTTCTGGGGCTGTAGTCAAATGTTTTCATGAATTGCTATCAAATACTCTTGATGTCTGCAGATGGAAATACAAAGCATGTGGCCTCTCAGCTACCATTTTCTCTTGTAGGCAAGGCATCCTGCTCAAGTGCTCCCAGCCTAGGGCGACTGGCTGCTTCATAACTGTAATGGAGGGTAAGGGTTGGTATGCCCAGGGATGAAGTGGTCATGACTAGTTTCGTTGGTTCTTTAAGACTGGAACCTGCTCATCATTACTGTTGTAGCTCTACTCACACAGAAGCTTGACTGAGTCCCACAGCAAGTCACACAACAAGAAAGGGAGATATGTCAGGGTCTATACAAATATGTGTCTAAGAGGAAAGAAAAGTGCTGTGGAACACCTGCATACTTTTCAGATGTAGTTTCTGTGCTGAAAGTTATGGCGGAGGGAGGGCGGGAGGGAGAGAGAGAGAGAGAGAGACAGACAGACAGACAGAGACAGAGACAGAGACGGAGACAGAGACAGAGTATATGATAAACCAGACCCTTCAACCCACCTCTGGAGTGGCCACTCGAGGTGCCTCATTGGACTCGCTGTCAGTGGTGCTACTCTCAGAGTCAGAGTCTGACTCAGAGCTGCTCTCAGACTCACTGGAGCTGCCAGAACCCCCGCTGGCTTGCACTGCAGGTGGGGGCTGGGTTGTGGCCAATGGTGGGCTGGAAGAAAAAAGTAACATCATTCATTACTCCCTTCTGCCTCAAACTAGATGCAAACAGCCCAGTTCAACACAAGGGCCTATGATCCGTGAGCTACAAGCTGAGTGGAGGGTACCAGCCCCATTTTATAGACCAGAAGTGTGAGGCTCAGGACTCAGTGACTGGCCCGGCATCACAGTTTGATCAAAACCAAGTCCATCTGTGCATGGGATCTCCTTGGCTTCCCAGCACAGTGCAGTTCCCTCCCTGGAAAGCCTTGCCACCCTCAATCCACAGGAAAAGTTTAAGCCAAGATTACATGTGTTTTGGACTTAAGATATAGAAGTGAGCCTGAGACACTGAATTGTCTCATGTATCTATTTCCCTGAAGATAATGTTTCATTTCCTGTTTCTGTCTTGTCCAAAGCTCCACAGGTCTGTCCAGGGTCTCCAATCATAGCTAAACCCAGTACTGTATAGTCTTATCCTCAAGTTCAGGTGAGTTTAAACCTCGTCTTAACAGGAGGAAACTGAGGCCCAGGGAGGAGGAGAGGCTTGCTTCCACTTTACAGCTCATTAGAGAACCAAGGCTAGCACCTAGCACTGTGCCTTCCCAGCTGCCCCAAGGGGCAGTCGCTGTGTGGAACACATTCACTGCCAAGGGCCAGACCTCAGCTCCAAGTCAAATTGTGCTCTCTCTCTCTCTCTCTCTCTCTCTCTCTCTCTCTCTCTCTCTCTCTGTTGGGTGCAGGAAAAATGAAATGAGAGAATGCACTTCTTTGCATCCTTCACCATAATTTTTTAAAAGTCCTTGTAAAACTCTTACCAGGAGGCACGATCCTAAGGGACCAAACATCTCTGATGATTGATTTTAAATTTGTAAAGCTGACCAAGCAAAGCGTTTGGAAAGTGACACCATTTGCTACTTTGCCTTTATTGAGAATCAATACTCCTCCTTACCAATCGGTTGCTCTCTGTGCCCTGTAACAAATCAACCTCAGCTGCTTAATAGCAGGCTGGGGTATGTCAGCACCCTCTGTCCATAGGCTCATTGTCTCTTTGGAGTGAATTCTGCTCTGCCTTCTCTCAGAGAGTGAGTCTCAATTTGGGGAAGGCTTCTAGTTTCTGTCTGTTTGCACCCCCACCTTTGTAGGTCAGTGGAGCCCATGGTAGTGGGCACACTAGGGGCCAGCACATCTTCCCTGTCAGGCCGGGTCTGAGCCATGTTTCTGCCTGGTCGTCCATCTGGCTTCCCCTACTTCTCGCACATGGCAGCAGGTTGGCAGGCTCTGCCACCTCACATTCTCCAAATCCAGGGCTGCAGTACAGTCAGGAGAGCATGGTCCTGGCTGTAGAGCTCTTCTGATTCTGTGGTCCTAACTGAAAACCTGAAGGAAGCGAGACTCCACGGCCCACTCTACCCAAGACTCTAGAAGAATGCACCTTTATTCCCTGCCTAAACCTGAAGGAATCCATGCCCCTCTTCCATGCACTCACCCCGCAGGGCCTTTTCTTCAGTATTAGAGCTTTCACCTGCTGGGTTGGAGCTGTACTCAGCTGCTGCTTGGGAGGGAATAAGATCCCTCGCAGGCCAGCATGGACTCATCAGTAACTTTTCAGCACACAGGGCCTTATGCCATCAATCCCTAAAGACTGGTGCTTTAATCTCCCACATTTTCTTTCATAGAGCGAAATCTCATTTTGAAATGCTATCTCCTAAGTAAATGCTATCTGCAAGTACATTTCTCTACCAAATACACCAAAAGTCTAGAGAAAAGCATGAGAAATAGGGGACTCTATCTCCTGGGAACCTGTGTGTTTATTTCTCTAACAATAGAGGGAGGGCAGCAGACCTCTAACTCAGGGCTTTGATTTCCCTGCATTCTTTTGCCAGATTTCTCTTTAATGTCAGTAATGACTCCAGATTTATGAAAAGTTCTCTTCAAACTGAGTCAAATGTTTTCATCTTTAGTTACAAAAGATTGAGAGAACATATCTAAGTGAGACTAATCCAGAGATTAGGCTAACTTGGCCTCAATTTCTCTCACGAAAAGTTTCAATTATAACATGGAGCATCTGCAACACCAAGAATAGTGGGTGGCGGATTGAAGGATAAAATCTAATTTCGATCCAAACTTATGACTTTCAAGTGAAAGCCTGTTTCCCAGTATTCTTTCACACCTATGCATTAATTTTTGGCTTCTTGTAAGAAGCTGGTCAGGCTGATATTACCAAAGTAAAATAGACTCTGGATTTACTTTAAGATAGTTTTTGGATAGAGTTCCCACTTACTGGACTATTTTGCAGCAATTTCTACAAGAAGTAAAACAAGCCTTGGGATTCTCCCTCAAAACTAAATGCATTGACGTGATGTACATAAAACACAGATGCTTTATTTACCCAAACCAACGTTTTCCTCTGCCAATTGAAACTAAAAGCTTCATGGATTTAGCAGAAACTCTGGTGTGTGTGTGGGGGGGGGTGTGCGCACACGCGCGTGCATGTATATGCGTGTACAAGTGTTCTTTATCCAAAAGCCATCTGGTGACAAATGCATTTTGGTACTTTGATTCTTTTAAAACATAAAAAACTAATATAGTGAATATAACATATATGTGAAACTATGTATACACACAAACAATGGTCAGTGTGATCTATGGAGGCAACCCTTAAAAAACTTGTTTATATTTCTACAGTAGCATTCACAGTAAGAGGAATAAATAAACACTTTAAATAAGTACCCTCACATCAGTTTAGGTATAGTTTGTCATCAAATGAATTTTGTATCAAATTTATCTTGTCTTAAAAAATAACACTTCTCAGAACTTCTTTGAATTTCAGAATTGTGACTAATTTTGACTATGAATATGGCTAGAAACCACATATGAAAAATTGACTAAAAGTGGATGTAAATATAGACATGCAATAAATACTATTACCAACATAAGAACAGCAGCCTCGACAGAGGCCCAGTGCAACGAGATTTGAAACTATTTCTCTTAAGAGTTTCTACAGCTAAGTCTGTTGGTCTGTTCCCAGGTAGAGACTCAATGGGCAGTCAAAACTGACAATGACCTGGCCATTCTCGGGGGACAAGAAGAGGCAGGACGTGGAGAAGTACAGAAGTCTTTCATACCCATACATAGGGACTGGGGAGTCATAGAGAAGATCGACATCAATTCTTGGGGGACACCATGAGAACTGACACTGTGGTAAAGGGCTTTGAAAGAACTGCTTCCTCTGGGTATCTGTGCAGTTGATAGCAGGGAGGGCCACCATTTGTGAAAGGCTATGACAGCTATTTAAATGGAAGCACAATTGCTGTCCCCAGAACCTTCCTGAGCTGCTTCTATTCATCCACAGCTCACAGGCTTGCTGAACAATGATTGCACCCAGTCCACTGAGTAACCCAAGCTGTGCATCAGAATCAAGGCCTCCCTTCCTATGAAGCCTCCTTGTGTATGGCTAGGACAGTCCCTTCCCAAAGACAAGCAGTGAGTACAGAACTGATGCATTTTTTTTTTCACAAGCGAGACCACAATCAGTATCCGGATAATTAGCACAGGCCATATTCTCCCCTAGAAGCCACGATAGAACTTTCAAGTTGATAAGACATCACAATATTTTACTTTAAATTCATCACTGGAAACCGTTATCTGTTCAGCAAGTTAAATTCCCACTTCTGCCACATTTATTTTCATATGTTGCTAATTAATTTTCCAAACACACATTAAAGTGACTGTGAGTGGAGCCAGCTCATGCTATATGGGATTCTGCCTAGGACACAAAGGACTAATGTGCAATTTATATATTCTTCAATTAACCAAGGCTATTAAAATTATTTTCCACAAGCCATTTTACTCTCATATTTTAATGAACTACTTTTAAAAAGAATGCTGGTGCTTATAACAAAAATATGTAATACTAAAATCATTAATATTCAATATATGAAACCATCTACTCTGTAGTCTGTAAATATCAGAAGTGTACAATATAACCTCACCTCCAATGTAATCAAATTTCTCAAAGGACCCACATTTGTCATGACGTCAGAGTCAGCTAGTCAACCTTTTTAAAGATCAGACTTGCTACTGTATTCGTCAGAATGAGCCATCTTCACTGAGAGGAGTGAAGCTTTATTCTAATTGCAACTCTGTTCATTAGGCCTTCCTGTTCACAGGCTGGTCTGAGGACAAAGTAGCTGGCTTAAGAACGTGGTGACCCAAGCAGAAGAATTCAAGGCTGGAGAAGAGGACCAAAGAGCAGGCCATGGGAGAGAACTTTAAGAGGCCTTTAAAATGCTCTCCCCAGAAAGGGCTTTCCTGGTGTAGGGTGTGAGACTACCAGGGGAAATGATGGGATAGTCCAAGCACTGTAGTCCCCAGAAATGACAGTGTCCATACTTATATTGGCCAAGCCCCTTCAGCAACAATGAGATCAATTGGGTACACCATAAGTAATGTGTTGATACAAGAAAGATAGAGTCTGGAGCCATAGTGAAGAAAGTGGGACTACTTTGATGGAATATTTTGGGGTGGGAGAGGGGTGGTTCATGTAATGATAATCTCCAAACAATCTGAAATTCTGCCCTATGGGAAAGGCTTGTTTTGATCACCTTCCAAGGTCAATACATGACCACAGAGTTCAAGGTCTAATCAGGAAGATTTCACCTCAACAACAGGGAAAACTTTTCGAAATCTAAGGTTGACCAGGGAAAAGGACAACACCCTGTAGGCCAGTGAGTTCTGCACCTTAGGTGACTGGATATCTAACTGCCCATAAAGAACATGGCAGAGGGATTCCTTCTGTGTGTTTGAAGAGGGCTTGGATGATGATCTTTAGGTCATTCACTTTAAAGATCCCAACCCTTATGAAGCTGAAATGTATAGGAGATTCTAAGGGAGGCTGCTTGTGAAGCTTAGGAGGATTTGGGAAGCCATTTGTGCCATCCATTCTGCTCCTCAATGGAGAGCTGAAATAACCTGTTCTCAACCATACCGTATCAGTCACAGGGCTTATGT